GTGTATACCATGATTCACACTGCCATTGTCCCAGAATCAGCAGAGCATCTTTAAATGTCCAGGAGAAGAGTAATTTCAGTCTTTGTAAAAATCTTAGGAAAAGCCTAGGAATTCTCAGTTGACTGTGAAGGCTGAAATTGTCCTGCTTCAAATTTTTCCTTAAATTTTAAATAGTCTCTTCTTTTGTCAAAATATTTTATCTGTTGAGACAAATAGGTTTGTTATTAGGGCAAATGATGCAGCTTAGATGTGCAAAAAAACCCACATATTTGAATGTGACAAGTTATTCAGTATAAACTATGGAAGAGTGAGGTATTCTGAGCCCTTCTCAGTCAGGGATGATGTAGTGAGCTAAGAAGCCCACAGAACCGTGAGCCCCATTCTTTCATGGCTACAGATCCTGTTCAGTGTTTGCATCTTCTAGGAATTTAAACAGACTTCTGCACACATGGAGCCCATTGGGAAACAGAGTCCACAGAGCTCTTGGGCGAGTCAGGAATCTTCAGTTTTCCAGACAATGGCCCATTAAATTCAATATATATTCTAATTTATCAGCTCTGGCATTTTGTCAAGTATGTCTTCTATGTAGGTAAATAGATAAAATGTCAGATTATTAAAGACTTAGTTTTCCTTTTATTTATATCCATCCTCTTTCCACAGGGAATTTGAAGTCTTAATGGGGTAAAATCCTAGAAGTATAGAGGCAAATCCAAGAAAAGTATACATGTGTGAGCTGACAGTGCGCCAGGCCTGTATTGAGCAGTTCTGCAGACAAGGCAAAGGGCAGGATGCCGCACATCTGCACTAGTGGACTAGAAAACACTGCTGCTTTCATTAAAAGTCTTCACTGCATGTATTAACGGACCCTCTGCATGAATACTGCTTTCTTGCTCTCTGAGAAACCCCATTCTAGAACACAGCAGATAGGCAGAAGTTTGCACCTTCAAGTTTGATCAGGAAGAATGTAACATCCTCCTACTTAAGAGGATCAAAGGTACCTTCACAAAGGCAGCCCTGAGCAGCCTACAAAACCCTAATATAGGGTTTTTGAACATGTTCAATCTTTAACTTCATGGAAAACAGGACGACTTCCTCCCTGCTCTGAGGCTGTCAAAACACTGCCTTACTTACAGTTCCATCCTTCCCCTAAATCTTATATCACTTTAGTGTGATGGATTCTCTCCCTCTGGTGTTTGGTACTTGGTATCAAGCTATTCATAAATCTCACTGTCTGACTTGAGATTTATCCCTGGTGATATTGGGCTAACTGTGCTAGAATGGGTGTTATACCAAGAATACTGTATAAAAAAGCATAAAATGTCCCTCACATTTTTGTGGCAAATTAACAAACTTTGACATCTATTATGCCTCTAACTGCTCAAGGGAAAATTCCATTTAGAGAACCTTTACACATTCCAGCCCAATGTGAATGGAAAGAAACGATACTTTACACTGAACTTTCAACAAGACTGATTTATTTATTAGAACTTCAATAACTGTGGAGAAGTTGGAATGCTGCAAGCCAGAATTTAATTAAAATCTGTTCTGGGCTATCTTTAGCTTCCTTAACAGCCACTCCTTGCCTAACATCCTGGTGATTATCAGGTGAAACCTTTTGGAATGTAGTCACAGATCACTAACAGACTAATGTCCTCAGAATCTGAGGCCCATAGCAGAGACTTTTCCTGCTTGTTATAACCCACCTTCCTGCTGTCTCCATCAATGTACTTGAAAAATGTGTTAGATGTCCTTTGTTCTGTATAAAACTTCATGAAGCTTCTGCCACACTGGAACATGGTATTTGGGGAAACTTCAACCTGTGTTCCCAGGCCATACTGGGAACACATTACTCATATTTGACTCCAGAATAAACTATCCCTTTGAGGTGAGAGCTGTGTTGTTTTTTAAAATTTATTTTACGTATGAATGTTCTGCCTGCATGTATGCAAGTGCACCCTTTACTTGCAAAGCCAGCAGAGGCCAGAACCCCTGGAACTGGAGTTAGGGACTGTTGTTAGCTGTCATGTGGGTGCTGGGAACTGAACCTGGGTCCTCTGGAAGAGCAGCCACTGCTCTTAATCACTAAGTCATCTCTCCAGACCCAAGAGCAGTTTTTGCAACAACAACCTGTCCTTAAGTCGGCACCTCTCTGAGTGTTTCTCTTCCTTCTAAACCTGCTTCTGTGAATGCATCGCCGTCACCTGGCCCTTGGTTCTCTTGGCCCTGGACTGAACAGTGCAGTCCCTCATGTTTCTCAGGCGGGCTGCTGTCCAGCTCAGTAAACACAAACTTTTGGACCTAAGTTCAAATCCTCTCTCCACTCCTTCATTTTGAACAATTATTTCTCCTTTCTGAGGAATGACTCCTGTCACATAAAACTGGACTCAAGACCTCTCAGGGGCAATGACCATCATTACAAGGGATGAAACCAGACATCCCAGGCTTTGTGAGAACTGGACAAGGTGACGAGCGCAAAGAAGTGACACTGACAGGGGCAGACGAGGCCGAGGCCTGCAGGGAAGGGCTGCGCAAGGACTGGACCCCGAAACGTCACAGTGCTGCGCCGCTGCCGCCTTCCCAGCACCGCCTGTGTGGACGCTCGGTCCCACGAGGTCCTGCAACCCGGGCCCTCTCCCGTGACCTTGCCCGCGGTCACCCCTGGGGTGGGTGCGCTCGGCATCTGGAGGCTCCCCGGGACTTACCCACTGCTGGGGGCAGCTCGCCTCGAACGAGCTCCTCAGCTGACGGCAGCGGGCCGTGTCGTCTGCGTTGTCGTCGAGGCACCGCCAGTACTGGTCGCGGGCGCCCCAACACACCTGCCTCTCCTTCATGGACGGGGCAGCCATTCCCGCCGGGTCACACAGGGGAATGAGGGACAAGTGGTGACCGCCGCGCCCGCCTCCAACCCGAGGAGAACGCGGCGAAAGGCAGCCGTCGCCGCGTCTCACCGCGTACCGCACGTCCTGAGATGTCGAGGGTCCCGAGGCGTGCGCCGCCACTTCCGGACCCCGCGGGCTTCCGGGTCTCGCCCGCAGCAGTCCACGTTAAGGGCGCGGCGCCCAGTGGGGGCTCTGCCTCTGCAGAGACGCCTGTGAGGTCCGTTCACCTACTGCAAAACTGGCGGCCGCGGATTAACCCTTCCGGGCTGCCGTTCGCCATACGGAGAGGGCGGGACTTCCGGGTGTGCGCTGTACCTGGAGGGTACTTTCCGGTCTGAGTGGCGGGGCCTGTGGGCGGGAACTGTCGGCTGATTGGCACCGCGCGGGCCGCTCCGCGTGTGGTTGCTGTGGCTGAGCTTCCTCTGGATGCTTACAGGCTGGGCTGCGCCAATTAGCAAAGGAACTTCGTCTAACTGCGGGGGATGTGGCGGCGGAAGCTCAGCGTGCAGGGATGGAGAGTGGACTCCTGTGGCGGCGCAGGAATGTCCGCCCCTGGTTAGAGCAGAGGGAAGGAGGGCGTGGGCCAGAGAGCCGGGTTGCCCTGGGCGTCCAAGCCAGGAAGTTCAGTGTATGCGGGAGGATACATGTTGGTGATCTCCGAGCCTCACTTGTGCCTTAATAAGGGATGAAAAGACCTGCTTCCAGTGTTTAGAGAGGATGCTTGGAATGAGTTTGTGTCTTTCAGCAGAATATTCACGAGGTGTTATGGGTGAATGCCAGTCAGCCCTGTTGATGCTACCTTGGTGTGCAGGCATGAGTTCATTTCGTCTGCTAAGAATTAAAAGGCAGGAAAGAAGTGTGACCAGAAATCTTGGGGTGTACTAGGAGTAAAATCTTGAAATCTTGGGGTGTACGTATGGTATCTGGAAAAGCAGGGTCCCCTCTTGGGGTGCTTAGTCTCAATAAAAGAATTTAGGAACGGACACAAATCGAAGCTCCAGGACAAGGAACGAACTCAGACAAAAGCTTGAGGACAATTTATTACCCTTTAAAAGGCAATCCCATGGCAGGCAGGTTGCAAATCTCCCAGTCTCCTGGAAGGGAGGAGGAGGATGGAGAGGAGGCCCAGAGGTCATGCTGCTTCCGATATGGTCAGCTACCTGGGGGCCGGCAGCCACATGGTGGGGGAGCGTTAGGAAAAGTAAGGAAACCTGAAGCCTGGGAGCTTAAAGCACAGGTAGGTTCTGGCCAGCATGAGCATGGCAACGAAAAAGGCAGCACAGAGGAAAGGTGGGCAGACCTAGCTGAACCTCAGGGTGGCGTAGGCACTGCACTGGGGCCAGGAATTCTGGGAAGTAAAAGCACATTATCTTAAGGTGAACCAGTCTTAGGAAGGTGGTCTTCTAGCCAGATCCCTGCCCACTCGATCAACCTTTAAAAGAGATGAATGCCTCCAACTAGAGGCAGATCCCATCCTTTACACTTACAGTGTTTTGAAAGGCATGTGAGTTCATGTCGTTCAGCAGAATGTTCATGAAGAAGAGGTTGATTGAATGAGCCCTTTGGGCTCTGGTTCCATCTGCTCCAACTACTAGTCTGAAAATCCATGTGCACAGGGGCAGGAGAGTTGGCTCCGTTGTTAAGAGCACTGACTGCTCTTGCAGAGGACCCAGGTTGGATTCCCAGCACCCACATGTTGGCTACCAACCATCCATAGCTCCAGTTCCAGGGGAATCTGATGCCCTCTTCTGACCACTGTGGGCATTGCACAACATGGTGCACTTACATGCAGGCAATGCACTCATAAACATTAAAATAGAAATAATAATTTTAAAGTAGAAGCACAGAAATAACATTAAAGCAGAAGTTAATGAAATAGACAAAAAGCAGTGCCAGAACCAGCCATATCCAACTCCAGACAGCCGTCGTTGTGCACCTCTTTCTACTCCAGGATCATTGACGCCCACTGCCCCCAGTGGCAACACTTACACTATGGAAATCAGTAAAAAGCCAGAACTTTGCTTTTGCTAGGCTTGAAGCCAATTCATTAATAGAAGACTGCATCTAACGTTGAAAAAAGAATCTCAAACTTTTTTTTTTTAACAGCATCTGATAGCACTGAACAGTAAATGAGAGATGTTAGTAATAGTAACCGTTTCAGTAATGGAAACTATAGATATGTGGACATAAGAGGCTTTAAAAAAAATGGGGTGTATGAGTTTTGCCTGCATATATATTTAGTGCACCCATGTTGTGCAGTGCCTACAGAGGTCAGAAGAGGGCATCACATCCTTTGAACTGGCGTTATGGACTGTTTATGGGTCATGAGAACTGAATCCTGGTCTTCTGTAAGAGCAACCAGTGCTCTTAACCATTGAGACATCTCTCCAGCCCCCCAGAAAGAGGATTTTTTAAACAAATAGGAAATTTAGATGTGTACAAATTTCAAGAAAAATATGAATAATGTGTTAGTAATTTGAATCAACACTGAAGACCTATGAATTCCAGGAAGCTCTTCCCACCAGGAGCTTCTTTTAAACTTTCACTAATACAGTTCTTCTGTGTTTTTGCTACCACAGCTTATATAAAGTCTCTATATCTTTGAAGCACCAAACTATTTGGAACTCATTTGATGAAAAATTGACCTAAAATGACATGAGACTTTGTAGTTGCTATTTATCACACGACTGCAAACATTTTGCTGTAGAAATATTATTGATATGGTTATGGGCACCATGTGACCTCTTGTTGAGGGTATTATACAATGTATATTGTATGCTCTCCAGTACCTTTCCAATTTTTAAAAAAGTCTATCCCACGCCAGGCATGGTGGCGCACGCCTTTAATCCCAGCACTTGGGAGGCAGAGGCAGGAGAATCTCTGTGAGTTCAAGACCAGCCTGGTCTACATAGTGAGTTCCAGGACAGCTGGGACTACAGGGAGACCCTGTCTCAAAAAGACCAAAAAAAAAAAAAGGGTCTATCCAAAATCCTGTGTTACACCTGTATGAGAGCATATGATTTAGACACTGAGAGGAATATTTTTTAGCCATAAACACAACTACATTAAAACAGCACCATAAACTGCATGGTGGGGAAGTTTCTAGTATATAACAAAATTAATATCCAGGATCCATTCAAAATACCTACAGACCAGTAAGAAATAGAAAGTCTAATTTTCAAAGGAAACAAAAATAAGATGCAACACTGAAGAGGACATGTAAAAGACCAATATATACAAATACCAGCATCCTCATGAGTAACCACAGAAGTGAACATGAAAACCATAATGCAGTACTATTAGACACCCACCAAATCACAGAATAATGTAAAAGCCTGACAGTAATGGGCTGGGAAGATGGCTCAGTTGATAAAGTGTGTGGATCTGAGTTCTTTCCCCAGAACTCACCTTGCTGGGTCTGGTGGGGCAAGCTTGTAATCCCAGCTCTGAGGAGGTGGAGACAGGAAGATGGCTGGGGCTGGCAGGCCCGTCAGCCTAGACTACTTGGTGAATTGCAGGCCAGTGAGAGGCCCTGTCTCAACAAACAAAAACCAACGGCCAAATCCCAAACAAAAGAACAGTGTCTGAGAAATGACGCCAGAGGGTTTCCTCTGGCCTCCACATGCTTAAGAACACACACCAGCACACATAAGGCCGACTAACACATGTCAATGGGGGGCTCTGGATACAGTGGTGGTAGTGTGAACTGACAAGAACCACTTTTAGAAACTATGTCAACACTTAGTAAGCCTGAAGACAGTACTTGCTATGACTCAGCGATTCCAGAGTCTGCTGCACTTCAAAATATTCATAGTAAAAACCACCATACAACCCAAACTTGTAGGTGTGGTGGTCCCTGCCTGTAATCCCAGCTCTTGGAAGGCAGAGGTGGGGCATCTATGATTCCAAAGCCAACCTGTCTACATAGCCAGTTTCTGATTAGCTGGGGCTACATAGTGAGACTCTGTCTCAAAATCATCATCACCTAAAAGATTAATTATAGTGGCACTATGAAATATGATGCAGTAATGAAAAGGAAAGGAAAGTGATCATCATGTACAGTAATATGATAGATCACGATATTGGGTGAAAGAAACAAGTCAACCAAAGAGTGAATTAAAGTGAGTTCCCTCTAAAGTTCAAAAGCAAGCAAAATTACAGTATTTAGCATTAATAAGTAGTAAAACTATAAAGGAAATTGAAAAAAGATTATCACAACTGTTTCTAAGGCAAGAAAAGAGATTTGATTAGTGAGGGGTACACAGAGCTTCTGGGTACAGAAGGGCTCTCTGGTCCTGGGTGTTTGCTTTCTAATTATTCTTTAAATGCTGTGTGTTCTAATGACTTCTGCACAGTGTATATCAGTTTTTATATAGAATGAGTGTATTAGTCACTTTTCTGTTGTGATAGAAACACTAAAACAACTTATAAAAGGAATAGTTTATTTGAGCTTATAGTTCCAGGGGAATTACAGTTCACTAATTTTGAGCTTATAGTTCCAGGGGAATTACAGTTCATCATGGTAGGGAGGCATGATGGCAGAGGTGGCTGGAGGAGGAGCATGGGAAGCTAGGCTCTACATCTTCCAGCAAGCACAGGAAACGAGAGCAACTGGAGATCCGGCAAGGCTTAAGAACTCTCTAAGCTCACCCCAGTGATGTGCTCCCTCCAGGATAGCCACACCTTCTAAGACCTCCCAAAACAGCACCACCATCTGGGGACAAAATGTCCAAAAATTCAGAGCCTGTGGGGGACATTTTCATTTGAACCGCCACAATGAGTAATTGACTTGAGAGAGATCCTCTTCAGTAGAATTAACTCACAGAAAGTTAAAAGTAACGGCCATCACATAGAACGCAATTACTGGATATTTTAAAAATATTTTTATGTGTATGTATTGCCTGTGTGCATGTCAGTGCACCCATGTACAATGCCTGTGGAGGACAGAAGAGGCTGTCGGATCCCCTGGAACTGGAGTTACGGACAATTTTAGCTGCCATGTGGGTGCTGGGATTCAAACCTGGGTCTTCTGCAAGAACAACCAGTATTCTTAACTGCTGAGCCATCTCTCTAGCCCCATAATTATTGCTGTATTTTTTTTATGCTTTACAATAGTCTATGTTCTTGCAGGTCAAAAGTCAGTAGCATCTAGTGCAAATGCCACTCATGCAGCTAACCGTTTCCTATTTGTCTGTGGAAGGCCGGTGGCACAGAGAGGAAAAACATTACCAGAGAGGTTCAATGTGCTGCACTGAGGTTCCCCACCTTACCCCAAGGAGCTCTGTGGTTTAACCA